GCCCAGAAACATGGAACAATGTTGGCCATTAGTGGCAGTGTTTCCTGATGTGAAGGCATTGATTAGCCTTAAACCCAGCAGCTGGAGATTTCTGTTTTGTTGCATGGCATTAGCTTTGGTATAGCCTCCATGGTGCTGAGTATCTTCCTGTAGGGAAAGGGATGGGCTCAAGACAGCTGGTGATGGGGAAAGAGAATCAGGTTTTGCAGAAACAGATCAGTCTTGATCCATGAGTTAGGCTGTTGCTACCTAGGATATCCTCTGCTTCTCAGGAGAAACATTCCTAGACAGGGTTGTTATAAGACTTGAGAGCTGTCAGTCTAGGACAGAGGGTGATGATGCTTTGGTGTGTAAACACTGGTGTGGGCTCTTCCAACAGTCAGAGGGAGCCACTTATGGTGTTGTTTCTAAAGACTGTTGTTCAGGATCCAGGTCATAGAGGTTCACTGACCTCTGCTCCCTGGTGGATATACTTTGGCCTTAACTACTGAGTCCTGTCACATTTCGTGTGAGTGGAGTGGGGATACCTGGGTGCTATCACAAGGGGTGCAGTCTCACAGGGGATATGTCACAAGGGCTAATAAATCTGTGGGATTGAATCCAGTTGCCATTGGCAGGCCATCTGGTCAACCAAGGCTTGATGCTGCTATGTTTGGGACACTTGTGTAGTGAAGCAGGTATGGCTATAGTTGGAGATCTCTTCAGGATGCTACATAAGGGAAGCACATTTTTGATAACTGTAGCTATGTATAGCGCTAGCTGCTCTGTACAGGAAAGCTTCCATCACCTAGCAGATAAACACTGAAAGCGGCCAGTGAGTGGATCCACCCAAAAGTGTTCAAATCATCCAGGAGTTAATAAAGTATTACTTGAGGTTGTTTTTTGATTTTTGAGACAGGATTTCACTGTAGTTTTTGGAACCTGTCCTGGAACTAGCTCTTGTAGACCAGGCTGGCCTTGAGCTCACAGAGATCTGCCTGCCTCTGCCTCCCGAGTGCCCGGATTAAAGGCGTGTGCCGTCACTGCCTGGCTAGGAAAGCAATGTAATTTTTAAAAGGTCATAAAAGTATCAAAAGTTTAACACATTGTTCAAGACAGAATTGAAGATTATAGTGAATGAAAAAATACTTTTTTATTTAGCCAAAGTGCTTCAAACTGAATTTCAAAAATCTCGTAAATGTGGAATAACCTTAGTTCTTTTAGTACTGAAGGCTTAGTTTCCTTAAGTGGTTTTCAAAACATCATGAATACAGCATGAAACAGGAAATCATGTTGTCCACTTCCTGTGACTCTGCCAGTTGGACCAAGCATCTCAAATGCAACAATACCAAAGCAAATCCTTCACACTTTCCATTGAGCACCAACCAACACACCAGGAAACGAGAAGACCAAATCCTAGTTTTACAGTGAGCCTTAGTAGTGATGCTCAGTTTCTAGAAAAACTTCCAAACAATTCTCATCTACTCTCAGCCAGCTTGTCCACAGAGAGTTGTTTTCTGAGTGCTTCTTCTACATACTTCCTGCAGTATTCTTACCCGTTCTACTCTGGCCTTATTGTTCTTAGTTTAGAGCAGTTGCCCTGCTTTAAGACAGAAGAGTATCCATTTTTCCTTTGATAATGTATCTGCATACCTTGCACCTTTCCTGCCTTGGTGACTTTTCTATTGCCACGACCAAGACAACTTAGAGTTTATGTGGGGCTCACAGTTTTGGAGGGCTGGTCTCTGACCATCATGGCATAGCAACAGGCAGGCAAGCATGGTGCTGGAGCAGTAGTTAGGAATTTACATGTTGAGACAACAACCACAAAGCAGAGAGAGAGAGGGAGGGAGAGAGGGGGAGAGAGAGAGAGAGAGAGAGAGAGAGAGAGAGAGAGAGAGAGCGCAGAATTGACAGCTTCAGCTTTGAAAACCTCTAAGCCTAGTGGCAGACCTCCTTCCAAAAGGCCACACCTCCCGATCCTTCCCAAACAGTTCTACTAACTGGAGACCAGGTACTGTAAAGCATGAGTCGATGGGAGCCATTCTCATTCAACCTACAACATTCCACTCCCTGACCCCCATAGACTCGTGGCCATAGAATAATATAAAATGCATTTAATCCAACTTCAAAAGTCTCTATGGTCCTGTGCACTCTCAACACAATTTGAAAGTCCAAAGTCTCTTCTGAGACTCAAGACAAACTCTTAACTATAAAACCAAAAAGCACATCACATACTTCCAACATACAATGATACAGAATGTACATTATCATTCCAAAATGGAGGACTGGGACACAGTGAGGAAGTACTGGACCAAAGCAAGACCAAAACACAACAATGTTTCTCTCTCTCTCTCTCTCTCTCTCTCTCTCTCTCTCTCTCTCTCTCAGGCTGGTACCACTCCCTCTCTGCAGCTCTCCTTGAAAGATGTCCCATAGCTCTGGCATCTCCAAAACTCTGTGTTCTCCAATTTAATCCAGGCTTCACTTTCACAGCCTTCCTTTCACACACTTTCACAATGGCCTTTCTGACCTCCGTGAAGGGAATCCCCCACCATATGCCCAGCTTCAGCAGCTTTACTTAAAGCTTTACTTTATGATGAAGGAGAAGTCCACAGCCCCTTTACTCCTGTATCCTTCATGACTCTAAAGCCAGAATCATGTGGCCAAAGCTGCCAAGTTCTGCTTCCTTGGTGGAACCTGGCCCCCTCTTTGATTGCATTTTGGGTAAGCTTTCTCTTTTATAAATTGGGAGTTAAACTGGGCGGGGTCTTGTCCCGAGAGCAGCACTTCCTCTATTCTATTTCACATCAGGCCTCTTTTTTTTTTTTTTTTTTTTATCTCTTTCAGCAAAAGCTCTGGCCCAACATTAAGTTTCCTGGTGTTTGTTTTCTCTCCAAATTTTGTTTAGTATTTCTTTTCTCCTTCTTATTCTTTTTAATCATAGATCTTTTTTTAAAAAAAAAAAAACATGGCTAATAATCAAGCAACTGAGTCAATAGTAGAGCTGTCTTACAATCTCCTCCGCCAACAAATTTAACCCATAACCTTTAAATTTAGCCTCAGGTAGGTTCTTAGAGCAAGGACAAAATCCTTAGCAAAATATGAAAATGGCCATTATCCATTGCTAATATTGTGCCCTCTGCATCCTCTTGAGTACTGCCTCTATAGTCCAGATTGCTCTCTGCATTACTGTCTTCCAAGGCTTGCTCACAACATCAAATGCTTTCCTAGTCCAAAGTCCAAACGTCTTCCACATTCTAAAAAGAAAACCAAAAAACAAAACAACAACAACAAAAAACCCGAGCATTGTCAGGCCTGTCACTGCTACAGTCCACTTCAGGGTACCACCTTAATTACTTTTCTATTGATAAAACACCATGAGCAGAGCAACTTATAAAAGAAAAAACAAATAATTTGGGGCTTGCAGTTCCAGAGGGTTAGGCCATCACGGTGAAGCACGGTAGCAGGTCGGCCGCCATGGCACCATAGCAGTAGCTGGGAACTGGTACTGAGACAGCAACCACAGGCAGTCTTTAGGGATAGCAAACTGGGAGTCCTGTGGGCCTTTGAAACCTCAAGACCCACCCCCAGTAACACACTTCCTCCAATCCTTCCCCAAAGAGTTCCACCAACTGGGAACCAAGCAGTCAAACATATGAGCCTTTGGGAGCCATTCTCATTCAAACCAATGCACTTACAAAAGTCCCATCTCCTTGTATAATTGCATAAGGCTTCCTGTTTGTAGTAATCTTACATTCATGTATTAGAATTTTAACCTGTATTGGCCTTAGTTTCCAACAATGATAGTAAATGTGCCATTGCCAATTTTATGCCTGTCAGGTGTAGACTGCTAAATCTATTGATCATAGCTCCTAAAAGAAGCATGTACCCTTAGGATAACCTAAGAGTCAATGTGGTACAGATATGTTCACTAATAGTCCCAACTATCTTCAGTTTCTGCAATAAAAAACTATGGAGGAGGAAAAATTTTATCCCTAGTCCTTTGGTTCCCCCATCCCCACCTTTTTCCCCTAGATCTACATTTCAAGTATTTGTGCAAATTTCCCTCGTCCATAAAGGTACATTTCTTTAAAAAAAAAACTTAAAAAATGTATCAGTGTTTTGCCTACATGTATGTCTGTATAACACATGCATGCACAGTGCCCATAGAGGCCAGACTATGACATCAGATCCTTCAGAAATGGAGTTAGAGACAGTTGTGAGTTGCCATGTGGGTGCTGGGACTTGAACTCAGGTCCTCTGGAGAACAGCCAGCAGATTTAATCACTAACTGATGTCCCCAGTCCCCAACGTAGGCCTGAACATGTCAACAGCAATTCCACCACTGAGTTATATCTTGAGCTTCTGTTTTTGCTTGTTTTGTTTTGTTTTTCAAGACATGGTTTCTCTGTGTAGCCCTGGCTGTCCCAGAACCTCGCTCTGTAGATCACGCTGGCCTTGAATCACAGGTCAGTCTACCTCTGCCTCCTAAGTGTTGGGATTAAAGGTGTGCACCACCACCAGCTAACTGGCTTATCTCCAGCTGCTTATTAACTTATTTAAGAGAGGAAAAAGGCACAGGGATTAAATCATCTGGGGCTGGAGAGATGGCTCATCAGTTATAAGCACTGACTATTCTTCCAGAGGACCTGTGTTTGGTTCTCATCACCCACGTGGGCGCTCACTACCACCAATAACTGGTTCCAAGGGATCTGATGCCCTCCTCTGGCCTCCGGAGGCACTGCACACCACAGTGCACATGCACATAAAACATCCACAAACATAAAAGTATATACGTCTTTAACATTTTAAAAAATAATTAAATAATTTTGAAGGGAAATTACTTCTGAAATGAAGACAATCAACCAGAGCCTATGGCTCTGGTAATATTAGTATCATAACTAGAAAATTCTTTCTTACTGTGAATGGGCCTTAAAATAAGTTCTTGCTTTGTAACCCACTCCTCACTTTTTTTCTTAGACAAAAATGAAATACATATTATCTTGCTTGTAAGTAAATCTTTCATCTTTTTTAATTTCAGGGAATGACTGTTGCCATATTGGGGCCCACATTTCCAGACCTGGCGCAAAATGTGAACCGGAACATCAGCAGCCTTTCGGAAATATTCGTGGGCCGGGCCCTCGGCTACTTGTGCGGCTCTGTGGCTGGAGGGGTGCTTTTCGACTGTATGAATCACTTCTTACTTTTGGGTAAGTGAACATCACCTTTTATTTGCAACTTGACTCTATATGTGAAAACTGCAACCTTACTTCAGATTTATTTGACAACAGAAGTGGGTAGTGTGGGTATCCTCCCTGGAAACTGGGCATCCATGGTTCCTGTGCCTACCTTAGCCGGTGCAAGGACTCGGTACTGAGTCCTCTGGGAACTCATTAGCCCCCAAGTCTGTGTGTCAGCAATCCTGAGACTCCACCCTCAGGTCACACACTGGTTGACCACACAGTTCTGCATATTTGGAGGTTCCCAGGACCACAGGGGCCAGAGTGAGCTCCCCACACGTGGCCGGGCTCTGTGGTGGATTGAACATGAGGAGGCAGGAGATGGTGGGGAGCTGACTATAGGCTGCATTTTGTCCGAGTTTCTCCATGCCAACGGGGACAAGCCGGCTGCTTTCCCACATTCTGGAAATGATGGAGAACCTCTTCATGTACTCCCTCCTGAATAAACTGATTTTGTTAATAGAATATTCAGGGTCTTGTTAATACTTGTTGAAGAAAGAAAAATAGTTAATTAATTGCTGCAAATGCCACAGCAGGCAGAGTAATGATCCAAGGGAGACAAGAAGGAAATCTAGTTCAACACAATTTAGTTAGCAGGAAATCCAGTTTTTTAAAATTTTTATTTATTTATTTATTTATTTATTTATTTTTGGTTTTTCGAGACAGGGTTTCTCTGTAGCTTTGGAGCCTGTCCTGGCACTCACTCTGTAGACCAGGCTGGCCTCGAACTCACAGAGATCCGCCTGCCTCTGCCTCCCAAGTGCTGGGATTAAAGGTGCATGCCATCACTATCCAGCTGCAGAAAATCCAGTTTAACATGACTTAGCTGGTGTTGGTTCAAACTCCCAGAGTCTGACACTGGGTAGTTTATTTCTTAGACGTTTAAGTACAGTACAATTGTCAAAAAAAAAAAAAAAAAATTTTCCTGGTAACAATGACCTCAGTCCACACGCACAATAAAACTTAAGGTGTGACTACATCACAGCTCCTTTACAAAGCACACATGACCTTTTCCATAAAGGTAGCAGGTGTGGTCTTGGTCATAGAACACGTGACATCTCCCTAAAGATGGATTCTTTTGGCTGAGAAACAGTGCTCAAGATAATGGTCTAGGGAGGCTGTGCCTGGGAGAAATGTAATTGTCTGGGGAATTCGGGTGTGGCCCAGTCTTACAGGTAGTGCAGCTCACCAGGCTGCTAAAAATATCCACTCCCAGCCTTCTGGGTGGAAAACAGGTACATGTCCCTCGTGTTGAAGAGACAAGCCTGTGTGATCAACATTCCTGGTTCCCTCGTGTGTATCTGTGAGCACAAAGACCTCATGCCCTCTACAGCTGTTGACGAATAAGTGAACAATACCTCCTATTTCCTACGTAAGCCTAAAAATTCTATGTGTGCATGCAGTTTGGGGTGAGAGAATCAAGCTCAAGGCCTGTGCCTTCTAATTACGTGCTGTACCATTGAGCTATACACCCACCCCAATCACCTAACTTCTACTTCCCTTGCTATCTGCTACACTCATTTATTTCAAATATCTTTGCCATTTTATTCTAACTGGGGGGAGGTATAGGCATTTAAAAGTCGGAAGTCAGTGTCAGGTCAATCACTTGTTATGGGGTTTGTGACCTGGGAAAAGACCACAGACTCAATCTAATTATAATTAGAATTATTATTTGAGATTGTCTTTAAGGGGGGTATGGAAAAGGACTTTTAAAGGAGAGAACCACATGAAGACCTTCCATATCTATGCAAGCCAGCAAAAAACGTTCTGTTCTGCCAAGTGAATCAGTTAAGGCAATTAAAAACAATCTTTGGGTGTCTGCATAAGCAAGTTACAAAAGGAAAAAAAGGCTGTTAGCCGTATAATAACAAGTAGAGGGTTACCGCTGTACATTTTCAGGTGAGGGCCATTGGGTCAGGGTAACTGGGAACTTGTCTTCCGGGGCCTGGAGTCAGAGACAAGTGCCTGGTGGGTACCAAGATGGATGCCTAGCATAAAATGGAGCTTCTGTAGCCATGACATCCTGCAGTGATTCTAGAACAAATGAATCAAATCACTGATTCACGTTTATGTAGGAGTAATGGTTGATATTTTAATTAAGCCATTCAATCAAATCCCAGCCCCCAACGTGAGTAACCCTTTCTGTCACTCTCTGATTTTAACAGGTATTTGTAATGCTGAAGGAGCTTTGGTGCGCTAATGGGCACCAGTGATAGTCCTGTGTCCCTTTTAACAGAGATCATGGCCTCGAACTCACAGAGATCCGCCTACCTATGCCTCCCGAGTGCTGGGATTAAAGGCATGCGCCACCACCGCCCGGCAACATAGGATGTTGTAAGGCTCAGGAAGGCTGGAATGCTGGTCATAGACCCAGAGGGGGCAGGGTACATCTTGTTTGCTGTCCATGTTTTGTTGGCCCACCTGAGGCCGGGGAAGCACCCATGGTATTGGAGCAGTCTAGAATGCTGCTCTGAAGCTAGGGCTCAAGGCAGTAAGAAATCTTGTTGGAAGCATCTGGTTTACCTCAGCTTTCAGCAAGGTGAGGACAACCCGCAGGCGCTGATTCTCTTCTTCTGCCTTGTAGGTCCTAGGTGGAAAGTTTCTGCACCCTGATAAGCCTCTCTGCGGACCCAATAATCCGAATCAGACCAAATCAAACCAAAATAGAAAAAGCCCAGGTTTAATGGATACAAATGCTCCCAGATGGCTTTCCAGCCCCCCAGAGAGAAGATGGGAAAGAAGATCTGAAAACCACATGTTTGTTCTCTGAGGGAGGGGGGCAGTTTAAATACCCTGTGGGCATGGTCTTGAGCATCTCTAGGGAGGGCTCATCTTTGGTAGGTTTTCTCAGAGGTGGAGTCTGGACTGAGGCAACTCCCAGGGGAGGGGGCTTGGGGTGGAACTTCCACCCAAACACTCCAGACAAAGTAACTTTACCAACTGAGCCCCTTCTCCCAGCCCCTTCACGACATGTTTTGAGGAAGGCTCCCTCACTAAACCTGCATTCTACCCACAGGACTAGAATGGATGGTTAGCAAGCCCCAGGGATGCTCCTGCTGCCTCCTCCTCAGCCCTGAGATCACAAGTGTGCACAACTTTCTCTCTGTGTCTGTAAAGATTCCAGTCAGGACATTTCCTGTCAGCAGGCGCTTCACTGCATTTATTTCAAAGTTTTACTACAAACTTCTACAACTGCACTTTCTTTTGCCTTTTTGCTACCTTAAATTCCTTTCAGTTTATAAATGTCAAACCTCTAAATTTTTTCAGCCTTATCTTATTTTGTTAGAAAGATATTGTGTTATGTTTATAAATTATTAGTAGTATTCAATGGTACTCATGTCATAGTTATATATATGTGCATATATATACATATATCATATACTACCACACCCAGTAATTATTTTAATTACTTTTAATCATTTAATCCATAAAATAATATAATATTTATAAGATATAACCTGCATAAAGAAATTCTCAAATTATCCAGTTTTCATACGACCTTACTTTCATTTTTGTTTTTAGGACATTGGCTTGACTCTGCATGAATACTGTCTATATCACTGACATTCTCACCCTTCTTTTAGGGATGGCAATGTTGGCTACCACAATTGGTCTTTATCTTGTTCCTTTCTGCAAGAGAGCAACATTACTGATTGCCATGATGTCTGTGTTTGGTGTTTCATTTGGCGCTCTGGATACAGGTTAGTGACTGGGGAAAGTGGATAGAATTACACTGTCACCAGCAAGGCTTGTGAAATGGCGTGGCCGCCTGAGGTGGTTGTAGGGTCAATCATTTAAGCACACCCTTCTAGCAACTGTGCTTCTTGGCAACCAGGGAGCCAGTTTTGAGCAGTTAGTGGATAAGTGAACTAGAAGACATTTCCCTGCAAGGGAGTATTGGTTTTCAGTATCCAAATGAGAAAGGGTCCCTTCCTAATGGGTAATTACAGTGTAAGTTAGACGGCTTTCATTCTGAGATAGAATTGGGTCATATTAAAATAAGAAGAATTAATGGCTTATTAGAACAAACTAAGGTTGGAACTGACAATGGGCTGTAAAAGCATAGAAACAGACATCCAACTAAAAAACACCCACTTTTGAGTTCAGAGAAGCCTATGTTGAGAAACCTTTTTCAGTTTATGTCAGGTTGCTGCATTTTTGAAAACCTCTTAAACAATGTGTATGATGTTTGTTTGCTCCAAATTCCAGCTTTCTATCCATCCCCTCTTTTCAGTTAGTTGAAAATTTGCTGGGTGGAATTACGGGTTTGCCTGATTTTTAAAAAGAGTCACAGACGAGATGATTTTTCACCTTGAAGCTGCTCTGACAGGGGGAGCTCAGTTTCTGGAAGACATTCTTGTCTATTGGAACAGGAGCATCAGGGTCCTAACTGGCTGCTTTGCTCAAACATAAATAATCTTTGGGGGCTGCCAGCTCCAAGTACATAAAACTAAATATGTGTAATGTGTTTATTAAACTTTGAAATACATTTATTAAATATATTACATAATATATTATAAACTCTGCAATGTATTTACTGTGTATATTTATCACATACATAGCAATAAGTAAGTGTGTAAACATTACACCCCCAATGTGGTATTAACTCTATTTTGTAAAACAAAAACAAACAAACAAAAAAACCTTTGCAGTTGTGTCTGGCTCTAGAAGGTGGTGACCACCAGCCTTTAGGTCATGCCTATGAAACATTACAATGCGTAGTTCCTGATGGTGCATTAGAGATCTTTAACCACATAATCAACTCACAGTTGACATTTGTAACTTAGAACATCTATTTTGTTCACACTGTGCAATGCATAGTCATCCACTTTCTAATGGCGCTGAATGTAATTGGTCTTTCTTTAGGCTGCCAGTTCCCAAATAATGACACAGAGACTTTTTATTAATTATGAATGCTTGGCCTTGGCTTAGACTTGTTCCCAACTATAACTTAATCATTTCATATTAATCTATATTCTGAAACATGGCTCATTGCCTCTCCTCCATAGTGTATGTCCAAGTTGCTTCACAGCTTACTGGCTAAACCATCCTCTCTTCTTCCCAGAGCTCCTCTCTCTCCCCAGAAGTCCCGCCTATTCTCTCCTGCCTAGCAATTGGCCAGTCAGCTCTTTATTAAACCAATCAGAAGGCGCCTTTGGCAGAATCACATAGTCACAGTGAACAAAAAGATTATTCCACAAGAAATGAAACATTTTTTTGTTTTTATAAGGTTCTTGAGATTTTTATTTTTATTATTTCTAACTATGCATACGTATTTGTGCCTGTGTATGGGTAAGTACACATGCATGCAGGTGTCCACAGAGGTGAGAGGTTGGCTCCCTGGGAACTGGAGTTTTAGGGGCTTGTGAGCCACCAGACTTGGGTGCTAGAAACCCAGTTTCTGGTTCTCTGCAAAAGCAGTAAGTACTCTTGACTGCTGAACGATCTGTCCATCCCTGGTCTTTCGTAATTTTACTAAGTTACTATGTGTAGCAGATGATTTTGTCCATGTTTCATTGGCAGGTACAAATGTCCTCATCTTGGCTCTTTGGGGAGACAAAGGAGCCCCACACATGCAGGCCTTGCACTTCAGTTTCGCCTTGGGTGCCTTCCTGGCTCCCCTGCTGGCTAAGTTGGCCTGGGGTACAACAGCATCCACTCAGAACCACACAGAGTCCGACTTAGACCCTCTAATGCTGAACCGATCCTCTGAAGCCAGTCCAGACTCACTGTTTGCCGTACCCGAGGACATGAATCTGCTGTGGACGTAAGCTTCCATTGGCACCTATGCGCTAGTGGTTTCTGTCTTTCTGTTTGGTCTGTTTTGTAAGAAACGCTCAAGACAGAAAAAATCTGCAGCATCTGGTCAAAGAGTTCGAAGAGCGAAGTATCACAGGGCCCTGCTCTGCCTTCTCTTCATCTTCTTCTTCTTTTATGTTGGAGCAGAGGTGACCTACGGCTCTTATGTATTCTCCTTCGCCACCACCCATGTTGGCATGAAAGAAAGTGAAGCAGCCGGCTTGAACTCCGTCTTCTGGGGGGCCTTTGCAGCCTGCAGGGCCCTGGCCATCTTCTTTGCTACATTCTTACAGCCTGGAACCATGATTGTGTTGAGCAACATTGGCAGCCTTGCTTCATCTTTCTTTCTGGTGCTTTTTGACAAGAACCCTCTCTGCCTCTGGATCGCGACTGCTGTGTATGGAGCCTCATTGGCAACCACATTTCCCAGTGGAGTTTCCTGGATTGAGCAGTACACCAGCTTAACTGGGAAGTCTGCAGCATTCTTTGTAATTGGTGGTACCCTGGGAGAAATGGCGATTCCCACAGTCATCGGAATTCTTCAGGGACACTACCCAGACCTGCCAGTGGTTCTGTACGTCTGTTTTGCATCAGCCATCTTCACTGGAGTTTTATTTCCCGTGATGTATAAATTAGCAACTTTACCGCTGTAATGTGAAAAAAAAGAAAACATTTCAGGGGGTCAGAACACTTTGTAAGTCTGACCATAAAGAAAAGGATAAACGCGAAGATGGAGGGGAGAAAATGAATGAATGAATGAATTTTGAAGCTGTTGAACCATGCAATGAGGCACGCTGTAGTTGTCTGGGAACATTTGATGGTCCCCACAGTTGCTGTCCTCACCAATACCTCTCACGTGCATTGATTTGGATAAACAGTTTGGTAATCCTCTGTGGAATGCTGTGTTCATTTCTTGTGACTGTGACCAATATTTGACAAGAAACCAAAGAAGGGCTTTTGGGGCTCACAGTTTGAGGGTACACTCTACCATGGAGGGGCAGGCATGGTTGTAAAATGTTCCCTTCATGTATCAGGAGTGTGGAGCCGGGAACCGTATTACATTTTGACAAAACAGGAAGTAAAGAGGGACCAAAAATGTGTCCAGGTATAAAATCTCAAGCCCTGCCCCTAGTGATGGACTTCCTCCAGAGGAGCCCCACTTCCTCCAGAGGAGGAGTCCCGCTTCCTCCAGAGGAGCCCCGCTTCCTCCAGAGATGACCCACTTTCTCCATAGGAGCCTTGCTTCTTCCAGAGGAGACCCACTTTCTCCAGAGGAGCCCCGCTTCCTCCAGAGGTGACCCACTCGCTTGAGAGGAGCCCCATTCCTCCAGAGGAGTCCCAATTCCTCCAGAGGAGCCCCACTTCCTCCAGAGGTGACCTGCTTCCTCCAGAGGAGCTCCGCTTCCTCCAGAGGTGACTCCCTCCAGAGGAGCCCCACTCCCTCCAGAGGAGCCCCACTTTCTCCAGAGGAGCCCCACTTCCTCCAGAGGAGTCCCACTTCCTCCAGAGGATCCTCAGTCCCTGAAGGTTCCACAACCCTCTAAAACAACAGCCCTAGCAGGTCACCAAGTATTGAAACAAGCCTGGGAAGGGCATTTCACATTCAAGCTACAGCAAGCATCTGTCAAAAACTGGGACAAGAGGTTTTGTTTTTTTTTTTTTTTTTTTAAACAGGACAGCAGTTTAATGCAAGTGTCAAGATGTCACAGGTTTTAGATCATTCATGCTTTGCTAGTTCATGAATTTCCTTACCAATATACTATAATTATAAAACAAAATTTATGGTATTACATAATAGCTCCGTGTTAGTAAGAGACGAGATGGAAATAACAATGATGTAAGAATTAGGTTTGCATGGTAGGGAAAATACTAAGGTGTTCAGAAAGAAGTCTCGATTTTCTGTTTTGTGGTGACCTCATCTGTGTTACTGCAAAGCAAAAATAGAGAATGCCTTACCTAATCATACAAGTACTTTTTACTCCCTAAGCAAGTCCTTAATTACACTTACTTTTCTGGATCAAGGGACAAGAGTTCTTACTTTACTCACTTCCTTATTCCTTGGGGAATGGGGACAGTGCAGGGTCAAATTCTGAACTCTTCCTGGGCCAGGCAAGCATTCTACCTCTGAGCAGATCCTCAGCCCACGGCCTGCGGTTTCCTTGAATCGGCAGTCTAAATAGGCCAATCAGAGAAGATCAGCAGCAGTGTTTCAGTGGGCTCTGGAGATTCCGTTTTCGAGGTCAATGTGTAAGGAATGCCAAGACATTTTGAAATGTTCTGTAATTCCCAGAATCCTCACGGTCTTGTACTGTCAATCTCTTGCTACGGGGCTCTTATTTTGGCAGAAGCCATCAGGCGATATTTTATGGTCTCTTATTTTCAGAGTGTACAAAGAGTTCACACATGTTTGAAAAGTTGCGTAGTGTTCAAGTAGCTCAACACCACTAAGAAAGAGAATGGATGTGCTGAGCAAATAAATCGCCCGGCCATCCACGCTAACCAGGGATGTTGTGGAGAAGAGCTTCATGAAAGAGTGTATTTGGATGTAGACAGATGTTTTCACTGTTTGACTTTACCAGTCAGCTGGATTAAGGAATGCTAGTGACACATTTGTCTGTGCCTATAAGACATTATGGAGTGAGTTTGAAGAAAGCTGTCTGCGAGACTTGACTGCCTTCTGGGTCTACTCTGAGGCACCTACTGAGGCCCCATTTGTCTCATCCCCTGAGATGTGAATCTACAAATGAAAACGAGATGCTTTTCCAGCCGAGTTTGTCCAGCATGATGTCTGCTGCAGCAGCCAATGGTCCATTTCAAAAGAGAAGTGAGACGGAATGACAGGAAGGCTCTGAGAGGCGCTACTGGTTATGAATGCATTCCAATTTGATGTGCTTGCTCTGCCTGTTGACTTTCTGACAAGTGTGTATACTGCTGCGTTTCACTGGTCTGAAGATGCCTCTTTCCCTCACACTTTATGCATATCTGAAATAGCCTATGTTTTACAGTCGATGATCGTTTAATACCGTGACAAATTATAACTGACAGCAGGTTTTTGTATACAGATTAAAGGTAATATGATTTACAATCAGTGTTTTATATTAGTGAAAAAAACAGTAGCCACTTCAGTTGTGGATGTTATATTAATTTTAAAAACAATTTTAAAGAAAAGACTATTTGTTTGTTTATTTATTATTTCGAGATGGGTCTTACCATGGCACCCTAGCCTTGTCTCAAGCTCTGGGACTCAAGCAATCCTCCTTCCACAGCTGTCTGAGTTCCCGGGGCTACAGGAAGGTATTGCAACATTTCCTGTCCTTTAATGTGAATTTTTGTCTGTGTTCAGATAGAATTTGTAGGCAGTGTGTTCCAATACCTTGACAATAGAATGAATCCGTGTCTATTTGTGTTCCAGTGGGGTTAGTAACACTTTGTTTTACTACCTTGCTGGGAGGGTACATTTGCATACAGAGTCATATTCAGAGATCTGTAGACACCTCGTTCTCTTGCCTTACATATGAGGGCTGTAGATGGATCTTTTTGAGCACTTAACTACCTCAGTAAGACATAATAGGTCTGGGACTTGCTGTTCCTAGATTTGATTTTTCACTGGTTTTGAATAGTAATCATATTATGAAAACTGTAAACATTTGACGACTTTCATTTACAGCTAGGCAATCTGTCTAAGGGTTAGAATGTTTGTGTAACCCACTGTACAGTGTTCCACCTGCGTGGGGTTTAAAGTAACAATGAGAAGGAGGAACAATGACCATGGGTCAGAGGAGAAAGGCTGCTTCATATTAAATATGATAAAACATATGCGTGCTATCCTTAATGAATGGGCAGGATTGAGTGGGTTTGTTTACTCATCCCAAGTTTTATGGTGAATGGCTTTTAATTCTAATCTGATGGTGGCGTGTTATTTTCTCATATCACTGTAAGTTGCTTCTGAATAAATCTTTGGTTTTAGTGAAAAGTGGCACCTTTCTTCACAGCAGCCCACTCACCTTGTGCTCACAGCTTGGCCCATGGACTCCCCTAGCATGAGGCTCAGAAGAGGATGGAGCGACAGAAGGCTCTTTCTCTTTCTGTAGTGTACTCTTCTCTTAGGACTGAAAGTACCTCTGCCCAGTTTACCGTTTCTCCGACAGCCCTGGGGGCTTAGGTCATAGTATTAACCCCTTAACTAGACATTCTGCCTTTAGCATCTACTTCCTTAAAATTGTTATCTGTTTGGTTGGTTGGTTTTTGGTTTGTTCGAGGCAGGGTTTCTCTGTAGCTTTGGAGCCTGACCTGGAACTAGCACTTGTAGACCAGGCTAGACTCAAACTCACAGAGATAGGCTTGCCTCCACCTCCTGAGTGCTGGGATTAGAGGCATGTGCAAACACCGCCCAGTCTGTTTGTTTTAGGCAGGCTCTTGATATATAGCTCAGGCTGACTGGCCTCAAACCCAGGGAAGGCCTCCTGCTTCAGTCTCCTGAGTGCTGGCATTGTAGCCAGGAGCCATCACAGCCAGATAGCATGCGGAGAAGAAAAGCAGCAGCCAGAGGATGTAAGGATTATGGTAAGACTTGTATTTAGAAGAAGGAGATAGAAAACTATCGAAAGGAGCGAGAGTGAGGATCATGTATCTCCAGTACAGTGAAGCCACAGACAGGAGTGCCCTTTGTACAGTGCAGGCTTGTGGGAAACTTTCCAGGGTGTTTGTTATTTCTTAGAGTTAAATACCACGGTTCTTGTCTGTTTAATCCGGGGATACAAAGTGCTTTTCTCTGGACTGTGATATGAGAAGTGCTTAGTGATACTGAAGGGGCAAAGAGCCATCCGCTTCTGCCCTTCTAGAACCCATAAACCTCAGGAGGAGAAAGGGCCCAGGAAAAAACGTGATTGCGGTGTCCTCTAGTCCCCTGCACGAGAGATAAGCCTTTGGCTCCATGGATTTTTAACCCCGACCTATGTAGCAATTACCTTGCAGTGTTCCATATTGAACAATGCCTGGCCCTTTACACAGAAATGCACACTTCTTTGCAGTGGAACCTGAGCCTTTAAGTTCCTCTGTAGTGTAATCTCAGGCAAAGGTGAGAACAGAGGCCTTTGGGAATGCAGAAACAAGAACCTCTGCTGGGCGGAGCTAATGCAGGGCTGGGGAAGCTGTGCTCTTTGTGGGTGACTTCACTGTGCATCCTCTCTGAAGGACGAGCAGGGATGGAGAGGTGTCCTGTTTGCTGTCACCATCACTGCTGCTTGGTCAAGTAGAGAGGAAGGTGGATTCTGTTGCTGGAAGTTCTGACAAACATGAGCAATTCCAGACTCTCTGCAGCTTGTCCACCTTCTGCTCAGGCACTTTAATACATTGTGATTTTATTCCACCTAATCAACTGTAGTTTTATTTCCTCTTTAAATGAAAAAGAAAAAACAAAAGGAGGAAGACTCCTAATGTATGGAGAATATTTTTGCTGTAGATATAAGGGAGAAAGCAGGCAGAGGGGAGAGTCCTGGCTGAACATGGATGGCCCACTGACTTAACCGAACCATGAGAGGAGAGGAGAGCCAAGAGGGGCAGCTGGGCAAGAGACTGCTGTGGAGGGATCATGATGGGGGAGGGGGAGGGAAGCCCGGCCCTGGGAAGGAGAGGGTTAGAGTACTGGAAGGGTGGGAAGCGCTGGGGGAGTCACAGGTACTGAATAAGGCTAGTCCTGGGTTTGAGACCTAACACCCTTAAAGATTAGGCGTGGTCTTGTGAATTTCTTACATTTACATATGACTGCATTCATTGTTTTGAAGAACATCTTGAGAGGAATATCATGACGTGTGATATAAACACATTTATAATTATAAATTCATCACAAATACTTGCTCTGAGCTTAAACGCTGGTCATTAGTTGTGTCTCTGATTTTTAAAAAATGGGCTTGACATCTCTCCTTTAGAAATTAGTCAAGAACGTCTTCATGTTTTACATGTTGAGGGGTTCACACTTACACTGAGTCCCTACAATGTGAGTAGCATTCCACGTCACACGTGAACAATCCTTGGGGTTTTTTTTCCAGCTTCTCTTAAGAGCTTTCTGACAGGTTCTAAACCTACCAGTTCTCCAGTGAAATTGTTACTTGCTACACGACTCACTACGTATACTGCTGATAGATTTCCTAATGGAGATGATTATAGCCACTCCTCTGTCTCAGAGGAGAAAGGAGATTTTCTGAATGGGCACCTGGAAGCCTGCTGTCGGGATCCGTGGCCCTGTTTTGCACTTAGAAAAGAAGAGTCAAAGAAACTATTCAGTGTTTCCAACTCAGCATGATTCACGTGTATTCTTATCTCCTGACTTCGTACATTTATGGGTCTCTGGGAAAGATCTTCTTAAAGTTGGAACGTTCAAGTTGAAAGAGGTTATGTCTTATCTAAAGGATTATAATAAGTGATAGTCCCCGAGTCCTTGACTCCTACGGTCCCTGTTTCGAGTGACCCTGGTTTACGACTGTGTGCTCTGCTCAGGACAGAACTTTCATACTAGGGACTCTGGGCAACCTTTGACCTTTTGGTCTCCTCTTAGGAAACCGTGGCAATAAGAAGCAAAAAGCAGCATTTCAGTATTATAAGTATATGAGTGTTAAATAGAGGCCCCAGTACTTTCTACAAGGAAAGGCTTATTTGTATCTGACACTTTCTCTGTGGGAAGCTCCCTGGGACTGGAAAGATGGACTATCGGATTGGTTCCCAGGATACACCTGAGACCTCGCTGGGGCTTCATGACGCTTCCTCTGAGGTTGATGGTGTGTGTGTAGAGGGGGCTATTTCCTGATTCTTTACTAAAAGTCATTCTTTAAGAAAACAATTGAGCTTGAATCCAGATGTCATCTGTAAGCTATCACACCAGGCTTTCCTTTCCTCTCTCTCTGTGACTGAGCCAACAGGTTGTTACACAGTTATCACCGTTGACAAGGAACTGTGCAGTTTTGTATATGAAGAGGGACCACAGAACACAGAGGTGGCAGAGCCAGCTTAGTTATGATGCTAACTTCTTATGCACACTGACAACACTGATTCTGATCATCTCCCCCACCCCTGAAGCCTTGTAAGGCAGATGCTGGATGCTGTTTCCATAGAGGAAGATACAGTTATAGGCGCTATTCCCTCCTGAGTGCTAAGGCTGGTGGAAAAGAAGCCAGAATTCAGTCTGAGGTTTGCACGACTCCAAAATCTGTGCTCTCTTCACCAAACTACACATGTTTTCCTTCACATTTGCCCTATATAAGCTGTTTAATATCTGTTTAATTCATGTATCATTCACCTGTGTAATCTGGCTTCAGCTCACACCCGACTAGACACCTGCTCTACTCCAGGGACAACTCTGGCTTTTTGGCAGTGTTTAATTCTTTAGCTAATGCAATAATTTACCTACCAAAACTTTGACTTTTTGTTTTTTTGAGACAAGGTGTCTCTATGTAGTGCTTGCTGTCCCACAACTTGCTTTGTAGACCAGGCTGACCTCAAACTCGCAGAGATCTACCTGCCTTTGTCTCCTGAGTGCTGGGATTAAAGGCGTGTGCCACCATCGCCCGGCCTTTAGTGGCTTTCTTATGCTAGGAACTATAACCTGACTTTCTTTTCTGCCGCCAGTCCCAAATAATTATGAAAACTGGCTTTAGCTTAGGCTTGTCTTAACTAGCTCTTATAACTTAAATTAACCCATTTATATCAATCTACATTCTGTCACGTGGTGTTACCTCTCTTTCATCCTGCACCTCCTGCTTCTTCTCCAGCTAGCTGGCAACTCTGCCCGCCCTCTTCTTCCCAGAGTGCTCTATTGTCTCTGGAAGTCCTGCCTAACCTCTTCCTAACTATTGGTTGTTCAGCTTTTAACACACCAATCACAGCAATACATTTTCACACTGTGTGTACAAATATCCCACAACAAGAATTCTATTCATTCAGGGGTACATTGGAGGAGGAATCAGACGTAACGTCCGATGTCATGATTTCAGAGTGGGTCCAGGTGACACGCTCAGGCTTGAAGTCAGTGACTGCTTCTTAATCAGAGTCTAGCTGGAGTAACTTCTAAAGAACTATTTTTGCTGTCCTATTTCTACAGTTTTAACCATTTACTGGCTATACAACCAATTGCTTCTGCTTGACACATCCGAACACTGTCTTGGGGTTTCTTGCGTGGTTTTTTTTTTTTTTTTTTGCCTCAGCAGGCCTTTGAGTGTGTGGTACTGCTGCTTCAGCTTTCTGAGTGCTGTGGTTACAGGTGTGATCCACCACGCCTGGCTTGCACACCAATTACTTCCTTATAGCGATGACTGGATGTTATTGGGTCCTAAAATCCCTAACCAAAGACTATTGCAATCAGGTCTGGCAACTTATGCCTAGTATCCCAGCCTTGTTGAGCTAAAGCGGAAGGTTGAGACGTTCAGGTCAGCCAGAGCTACAAAGTTAAGATCTTACTGCAAATAGGAGGGAAAGGAACCAATTAGCTCTTTAGACAAAATCAGCTTCAATTCAGCCTTTTCACGATGAAGAGGTCTGGTTTTAGGAATATCTATAGAAGTAATATTGACAGAACTTGAGATATTGAGGAGAAAGAAGAGGAAGTATGAAGGTGTGATCTTGGAGTCTGCCTGGAGCTGACCAGGTAGACGGTGGTGACAGTATATATGGCTGCCCCAGATTCTCACTGTTGGGCAAGCTGACTACAAACCGATTTCAAGCTGAACTCTCTCAAGTAGCAGGGCCACCAGACAACAGTCATGCCTCTGATTTTTAAAATCCTGTTAGTTGTCATGTGCTCCTTCAGAGGCCACCTGCACACCCCGAAATTCTCAGAGCTGTGGTTTAGGAGATCGACTGTGGCCTTTGCGACTCTGCGTTTGAAATGCGGACAAGAAGGAAAGTCATAGACAGGAAGTTGGAAGCTGATTCAGGAGACGTCTCTGGGGTGATTTGGAAGGCTTAGTAACCACACGTGGATGAAGCTGTTTTGGCAGGATGATGAGACTAGGGTTTGTGGTCTAGGAGCCTCAGAGTATTCCGAAACGCCCACAAGGATGGGATAGGGGTGTTGGATAAAGACCAAACTAAGCGACCTTGTCTTCTGTGAAGAAGCAAAGGCCTTAGTAAGCAAAACTTTAGTCGGCCAACTAATACATCATGCTATGTCTGAAATAAGTGCTGAATTGGACGAGACGCATATCCGAAACCACAGCTTTGGGCCTAGGTTTGTTTCTGGAGTTGCTGTTCCACTGTTGGCGATTGACTGGGCGGCAGCGTTGCAAGGATTGGTTAACACAAACGAAAGATGATGCGCGAGCTTCCTCGAATGTCTGTAGAGTGGAAAGATGAACACGGAGGCAGAGAAATGTCGGGCGTCAAGGGCTGGGCTCTGGCCAAGTTTACAAAGGCCAAGCCATCCCCCCCCTCCTTCCTCTCCATAGGTGATGGGGGTGGGGTCGGGCCTCACCTTGTGGGTGTGGCAGTGCTTCTCCTTGGGGCTGAGCGGTGTCATCTGTAGATAGGCTGCTTTTACACTGGCGACCCGGGAGCCCAGCAGAGGCGCTGGCCGCAGTGCGGACATCGCAGGGACGGATCACCCTGGAGGTGGCGTGGGGAGCCGCGGGGCAGGCTGCGCCCAGATCTTACTCGCCTGGACGAGATTGAAGGCATCCAGAGCCTTTTGGAACCGCCAAGCTGGAGCTAGAGACGGACCTGGAGTACCGCTGGGCCCCGGCCCCCGGGCAGCTGCTCTTGCAGGAATCCGGGGCCCCAGCGACGCTCAAGGAGCGGGAGGAGGCGGCGGCTGGGCGCAGCGGCGGGACGCGGCGCGGGCTGCTCTGGTTCACCACGCTGGTCCTATATGCCGCCTTCGTGGGGCTGGTGAGAGCCCAGGCTGTCCCTTCCCAGGCTGGGCCAGGAGGTTCCCACTAGGAACAATCACTCCCCGGCTGCAGACCTGCTTCCCTAGCCTGCACAGTGGGAGATCGGTGCATTCATCTTTCTGGGTCTCCGTTTCCCCATCTAGGAAATGATCACAGTTCTAATCTTAGAGGGTTTTATGTAAACTCAAACGGATTGCCTTAATGTAAACTTTCGTGGTCATGGGTGCGATGGGAAGAGATACAGAAAGGAGGGCCCAGGCCTTCACCTGCTCACCCCCACAACCAACCATGCAAACTCCCGGGTGGGCTGAGGAAGTTCAGCTACCTGGCAATTTTGCAGACAGAAAATGACTTTTCTTCATCATTCAGGTGGTAGGAGTAAGCGCCTGCGAATGTCTGTAGCCACAGTCGTCTTTAAGATTTTAGCACTTTTAGACACGGTGCTACTAAGTAGCCCAGACTGAGGCTAAACTCAGTGGTGGTGTTTCTGCCCTAGGGATTACAGATCAGCACACCTGGCTTGCTTCTCGGGTTTCTTTGATGTTGGAGGAACTGCGAAGGAAAATTCTACAGGTGCCTAGAGAGTCTTCGCTGTGTGCTGAAGTCTCAAAGTCCTTTGAAGGACTTTGATAAGGACCTGTACTCAGTACTCTTTCCTTGAACTTGGTGCTTGCTGCTGGCCTGTCCTCGCTTGTCGTCCTTCGTCCTGGGTCCCTGCTATTAAAAGGGGGCACACTGGTTTGAAGCAGATCGGTGCCGTTACTATCAATCACTCTTGGCATATAGATAGATGACTTAGAAACGTTTTTCTTAAAAGGACCAATGCTAACACATTGTAAGGCAACATTTTATTGATAAAACCGTTGTGTATGTGTGCAAGTAATAGTTCCTTAAAAGCCTTAGAGTCTATACTCCTTCCTGATGGCTTTGGAATTTCATTAAAGAAGACTATAGATTTAGAAACATTCAGAGAGTTGATTTCCAGCATATTGTGTTTGTGTAGGTCAGAGAAACCTCTGTGTGTCAGAAGGATTGCATTTTTAACATAACCAACATGAGCAATAAACTGATGTTTGGGAATTTAAATTCCTAGATCAGTAATAAATGGAGTATATTTAAAATAAAATATTTTGAGAATACATTTGATATATCTTAGTAACTATTAATACAGAAAAATCTTGTAAGGTGATCTTCAAAATCTAAAAAGAACTGCCACCAAAGCCAGACAACATTTAAATACTGAGTAGAAGATGACTCACAGGAGCGTATGCCTCTAATAGTAAAGGGTTGCCCATTTTGTCTTGTTTGAATAAAGGAAACCTCTATATTACATTGTAATTCCTGCCTCCCATTCTTTATTATGGAAAATGCCACCATTTAGATGCATACCAATTTAGTGCTTGTAAGTATAAAGCTCTTCTCATTTTAAATTTTAGGGAATAAGCATTGCTATCCTTGGGCCAACATTTCCAGATCTGGCAAGAAATGTGAACCAAAACATCAGCAGTCTGTCTATCATTTTTGTGGGCCGTGCCTCTGGATTTGTATGCGGCACCATGATTGGTGGAGCTCTCATTGACTATATGAATCATTTTTTACTTTTGGGTAAGTAAACACTGCTTTTTTGCTCCCCCCCCCCAGTGAATTTTAAACTTGACTTTAAGCATTAAAAGCATAGACTGAAGAATGGTTGACAACAGAAATGGGTGTGGGTATCCTCCCTGCCAGCTGGGCTTCTGTACAAAATCCATACCGAACATTCTAAAACTTGATTGGCTCTTTCTCAGGAGTGTTGGTACCCCTGAGCAGTGCTGGCCTTTATTGTAACGTAGGCTCTGCTCCAGGCTGACACACTGGCTGACCTTGAAGCTCTGCTTATCTGAGGGTACAGCAGGGCTTCTGGGGCCATGGGTCAGAATAACTCCTGGAAACTGGCCAGGCTCTGTGGACTTGGGGTTGAAGATGAAGAAACAGGGAGATGGTGTAGCCTGCACCCAGGCCTATTGCCCTTGTCAGAGTTGAGCACAGGCTGATCCTCTCAGATCATGACCCTGGAAGAGAGGGCAGAGTTGTCAGCATGCCTTTTTCAATAAATTGGCATAATTAAAAAAATTTAGGTTACTGTGATAAAATTCCTTTGGAGGCAAGGTGAATAATTTATTGCTGACAAATAAGTAATCTTCATTATTCCCAAAGTTGGCTAAAAGACTGTTTTTTATTTCTGTACTTCATTTCCTTTTAGCCTCCAAATGAACTTATTTTGTAAAATTTCCCTGTAATCTATTATGATTTTTATTCTTGCATTGTTACCTCATATAAAAATTCTCTTTGAAGCAATGCTTTTGGGGTTAACACAGACACTATAAAAATTATTTTTATAATTTCTAATTTGACCATTAGCAATAATAGAATTGTATTCAAGTCATACTAATTAATACGTTTTAGTCCACAAATATTATAAAAGATTTAGATAAAACCACCATGCATTGCAACTGTATCTCTCATCTACTCACAATTGAAATTTTACTGTGGTGGCAGTGGTGGCTTTGCCTTTTTGGCTTGATTGTCCTTGAGACAAGATCCCACCATGTCACCTTGGTTGGCCTGAAACTTTCTTTGCAGAACATGCTGGCCTCAAACACAGAGATTTACCTACCTCAGTCTCCCAGACATTGGAATTAACATTAGTGTGTACTATCATGCCCAGCCTAAGACCAAACAGTTTTAATTCAGTGTTATTTTTCATTTATAGAATTTGTTATGATATTCCTTTGACCTAGGACCCTGATGAATACTTGTTTTATAGCTGGACTTATTGTCTTCTGTTTTCAGGTGTGTCAATGTTGGCTACTACAGTTGGGTTTTATTTCATTCCTTTCTGCAAGAAGACAGTCTTACTGGTTGTCATGATGTCTGTCTTTGGTGCTTCGGTTGGTGCTGTGGATACAGGTTAGTGAACCCTTCGGAGTCATCTCCTGATTTGGGGATAGTACAATGAGTAAGGATAGACCATATGAAACTGTGGCATTGTTTGTCTTGCTCTTAAGATGGCATGGACTCACACAATCAGATTACACTTCCAGCACCCCTTCTTCCTGCCAATCAGGGCTGGGCATGGTGGTAAACACTAACCCTAATCACAACCAACCAATGGTTATACACTAACTATGACGTGAACTTTGGAGAGTTTTGCTTTATGATTGTTGGGTTGTCCAAACATGGAAGGACTCCCTTTCTGTGGGCAGTTATAATGCTTTCATTCTGGGACAGAGTTTGACCACTCTAGTATAAAAGAAAATGATGATTTGATAGGACAAAGTATATTAATTACTTTGTAATTGCTGTGATAAAACAACTTGTGATGAAAGCAACTTGTAGGAGAAAGACTATTTGGGCTTAGGGTTCCAGAGGGTTGGAGCCCATGATGGGGGAGCAAAAGCATAGCGGGAGGAGCAGGAAGCTGGGACCTCTCATCTTGAACCACAAGCGTAAAGCAGGGGGAGCAGTTAGAAATGATTGGAGGCCTTTAAATTCTCAAAGCCTGCCCCAGCAGCAAGGCCACCTCCTAACCCTACCTAAACAGTATTTTTTTTCTAAAATGAAAAACTATGATTTATTCATAATTTCATCTACAAGAAGAAACTTTTTTTTAATGTGTTGATCACGGCTAAACAGTATTTTTAGCATACCACCAAATAGGGACCAAGTATTCAAATGCCGGAGACTATGGAGGACATTCTCAGTTAAACCACCACACGGGGTAGAATTACAATCGGCTGCAGAAGCAAAGGAGTCATTCAACTGCAGAGGCACCCGGATTCTAGACTTAGAGAAATCCTTGAGGGTACCATAGTCTTGCCTTTGTTTCTGGTTGTTTTCTCTTTCTCTGCAGCGGAAAATATCCATGTCTCACTCTATCACTGAAGACCTCCTAAATTACCTGTAGATCATTGCTTACCCCTAATCCTGGCTTTCAATTCCCAACTGTCTTGTTCTAAGGGAAGAAACAATATTTGATCGATCATGGAAGTAGTTTAAACTTCAAGCTCCATTTGAATGCAAAAATTACAGTGTGGAACCATATGATTGTTTAAAGATAACCAACCACTAGATGCTTCTGGCTTTTTGCTGTGTGGGTGTTGAAACTATGTAGTGTGCAATTCTGAAAATTGTTTTTGTTTCCTATAACAAGCATGCCACAATTCCGGGGCAATCTGGGTCCCAGTTGGGTGTCGTGCATCTGGTTAAGACTTAAGCAAACAATATTCTTCGATTGGAATTGACACCTAATTGGAAGTACTGAATCTTTGGCAATTTCCCCGCCATTAGATTAAATTTTCCCTAGTATCTATATATATTTATATATGGACCTGGGGATATGGTTCAGCTGGCCAGAGTATCTGCCTAGCATGCATGAAATACTGTGTTTAATCCCACGCACTGCATAAACTGAATGGCACATTCTTGTAATCCTGGTAGTTAAGCGACACTGGTGGGAGTACCAAAAATTCAAGATCATCTTTAGCTACATAACAAGTTCAAAGTCAGTAGGACCTATATGAGAACTGTCTCAAAAATACAAATAAATTTAGCCAGTGTCTTGTTGCTTCTATTGCTCTGAAGAGACACCATGACCAAGGCAACTTATAGAAGAAAGCATTTAATTGGGAATTAGCTTATAATTTCAGAGAGTGAGTCCATGGTCATCATGGCAAGGGGCATGGTGGCTTCCTGGCAGGCGTGGCACGGGGAGAATAGTAGATGAGGACTTTAGATCCTTATTTGGAGAGAAGGAGGGGAGGCAGAGGGAGATGGAAAGGGGGAGGGAGCCGTATATATTGACTAGACTTGGGGTTTTGAAATCTCAAAATCCACCCCCCAGTGATAAACTTCAACACCTAACCCTTCCTAAACAGGTCCCCAGATGGGGACTAAGTTTGCTAATATGTGAGCTTATGGGGGCTATTCTGATTCAAACCACCACAGTTAGTAATCTCCCAGTGAGATTACCATCGTTTTATGATAAACTGTTTCAAATGTACCTAGCTCACGAGACAGTTTACTAACTTGTAAACTTCACGCATGAAGATGAGCTGGAACCCAGTCCTCTGGTGATAGCGGGTTGGAGCACCTTAATTGGCTCTGGGGTAAACTCAGAACATCACAAGCTCCCACAGCCCAGTACAGACACCTCTTCCTCCATGAAGCGCCTGATACATTGTTTCTTTAACTTGTAGGTGGGAATGTCCTCATCTTGGCTCTTTGGGGAGACAAAGGAGCCCCACACATGCAGGCCTTGCACTTCAGCTTCGCCTTGGGTGCCTTCCTGGCTCCCCTGCTGGCTAAGTTGGCCTGGAGTACCTCAGAATCCACTCAGAACCACACAGAGTCCGACTTTGACCCTCTAATGCTGAACCGATCCTCTGAAGCCAGCCCAGACTCTCTGTTTGCAGTACCCGAGGACATGAATCTGCTGTGGACGTATGCTTCCATTGGCACCTATGCGCTAGTGGTTTCTGTCTTTCTGTTTGGTCTGTTTTGTAAGAAACACTCAAGGCAGAAAAAATCCACAGAATCTAGTCAGAGAGTTCGAAGAGCTAAATATCATTGGGCCCTGCTCTGCCTCCTCTTCATCTTCTTCTTCTTTTATGTTGGAGCCGAGATAACATTTGGTTCTTACGTATTCTCCTTCGCCACCACCCATGTTGGCATGAAAGAAACTGAAGCAGCCGGCTTGAACTCCGTCTTCTGGGGGGCCTTCTCAGCCTGCAGGGGCCTGGCCATCTTCTTTGCCACATTCTTACAGCCTGGAACCATGATTGTGTTGAGCAACATTGGCAGCCTTGCTTCATCTTTGTTTCTGGTGCTTTTTGACAAGAACCCTCTCTGCCTCTGGATCGCGACTGCTGTGTATGGAGCCTCGATGGCAACCACATTTCCCAGTGGCATTTCCTGGATCGAGCAGTACACCAGCTTAACTGGGAAGTCTGCAGCATTCTTTGTCGTTGGTGCTTCTCTGGGGGAAATGGCTTTTCCTGCAGTCATCGGAATCATTGAGAGACACTACCCAGGACTGCCGGTGGTTCTGTACGTCTGTTTCGCATCAGCCATCTTCACGGGAGTTCTTTTTCCCGTCATGTATAAATTAGCCACCTTACCCCTGCGTCACCAGGCAAAAGAAAGGAAGAGTGAGGACTGAAGAACTTCGCTTTCCAGCTCTAGGCTCAATGACTGTGAGGCGGAAAAGAAATGGAAAGACGCAGAAAAACGGAATGGAACACATTCTGAGGTAGTTGAGATGAAGGATTCGAGGCATCTGTAACCGAGGAGTCTAGACATATTTCAAGTTCATAGAGCCCACAGCTGATGCTTCCCAAACACCCCCATGTGTGAGGCCTCTCTGGTAATGGCTGTAACCTCCTGAGATACACCAGGAGAAAATGGACAAACATTAGGAAAAGATGAATTGTTTAGTAACTTCATAGTTCCTACACTTATGGCCAGGGGAGCCATAGAAGTTCTCAGCAATTCCCTGGGGTCAGCTTCTAGAGCTACTGCACAGTAGCTGCTGAACTGTTTTTAAAAATTCTGGAATTTCCAGAGTCTTCCATAATGTACTAAGTGATCTCATATAGTGGGATCTTGTAACCAGGCTCCTGTTTGGGAGACTTATTAGGAAATATGGGGGTTTTTTTTGGTGTGGTGTGTGCTAAAAGGCATCTATAGTTTCTATAGTATAGAAATTGGTAGTGCTCTAGTAGGCAGGTACCACGGAGATGTGGAATGGATTGGCCTTTGCTGCGCAAATGATCAAGCGTCCATTTTCTCTTGGATGAGTGGGAGAGGGTAGTTTTGATGCAAGAGAAAGTGGAAGTAGTAAAATTGATCCTATAAAGGATATACTCTGCTTAGGAAATATTGCTAGAAAAATTTAGTTAAAGGGTGTTACCTCCAAGCTCACTGGAAGAGAAGTAGTGTACTGACCAAGTTCGCTAGAAACTGAAGAGAGAAAACTTTGTGCCCTAATTTAAGTTTAGGATTGCTGAGAAAATTTCTGCTAAATGATCATTCACCAAGACTGACTTCCAGTTAGGCTCCATCCCCATAGCGAAAGGGTCTTACAAGCAGTCATTAGGCTCGTCGCCGTATCTAAAGGGCAGCTGAAGGGGGCAGAGCAAGGTGACAACCATCACTATGCCCTGGCAAGGTGAATCTGGGAGCAACTATGTCACAACACTGGTGTGCTCAACAAACTACTCTGACAATATCTGTGTGTGTAAAACTCCCACCTGCCCAAGCGTCCAGACACGCGGTCTCCTATGACTGCTTAAATTGTTCCAAGTATAACCTGGACCAGGACCTGAGAGATTTAAGGATGACAACATTTGTGGAAAGAATCGGCCTAAGGTGTGAGTAGGAGCTAGGAAATCTTCAAATCAAGGCCAGCTCTTCTTTGGGCATTAGCCACAGTCAGCCTCATGGCTTTTTGGGTTTTTGTAAAGAGCTTTTCCTTTATTAATCTCTAAGTGTGCAGCATGATTTCTCACTGGGTAGGCATATTATTTCTATAACAATTTTATGGAAGCATATTTGGAAATGGGGATACATTATGTAATTCTTTGCCTTATCCCTAGTGTTGGGTTGAAGAATGCTAAGGACTTGTTCGGTTTGGTCCTTTTTTTCCATCTTTTTTTTTTTTTTAAGATTTATTTATTAAGCATACAATATACTGCTGGCAAGAAGGTTGTGCGCCACCACGTGGTTGCTGGGAATTGAACTTGGGACCCCTGGAAGAGCAGCCAGTGCTCTCTGAGCCATCTCTCCAGCCCTGGTTTGGACCTTTTATGAGAACACAGGAAGAATTCTTTCCCTCAAGTAAAGACCTGCTTTCTAGATTCACGATGGGCACTGACCAGGGGCTTCTTTCATGTCATCTCCTTGTCCTTCACCTTGGAAATGCAAGTAAGAGGATTTCCAGACTGAGAAATCCACAGGGTTTGGAGTTTGTGCAAGACATCTGCTGAACAGCCCTTCCTTCTCCACAGATGACAATAAAAATGTTTTATGCTTATGTGGATATATGCTAACACCTTAGTATTTTATTTGAATAATTATATGAAAAAAACACTTTCGTTGCTGAATTTCGTTATTGTTATTGCCCTGTTTTGTTTTGTCTGGTTTTGAAATAATGTTTTGTTGTATATCATAGACTGGCCTGGGACTGGTGAACCTTCTACCTCAGCCTTCTGAATTAAACCCTGCACCTCCAGGTCAGGATAGTGCTGTATTTGATCCATCCTAAAATAAATCTTTTCCTAATACTTTAACATCTTGAAACAGTTATGAAATAATCATTCAACTCTTTAAACAAATTGTACGCTCTCCATACAAATATGGAAATAATGTACTTCAGTATAATTAGTATCTTAGTCATTGAAATGTGATTATTCTAATTATTACAATCATACTATTTTACAGATAATTTTTTTAAAGTTATGGGTGGTCTCACTGTAACATCCAGGCTGGCTCCAAATAACGGGGCTCAAAGTGGTTCTACTTCCTCAGTATCCTGAGAAAGAGGACAGACAGGTGCCTCCACCCCAGACAGAATGTTCTATCTGCATATGCTGTTTCTAGTTATATTCACTTGGTACTTAGAGAGAGCATGGCCCAATACTAGAAGCTGTTACAGAGGCTACTTCAGTGCACAGCTGTAGGCGGGGTCTGTTCCATTCTCAGGGTTTGGACATCAGTTACATTATAAACACTATTAAAAACCGGCTAGTTTTTAAAGCTTATGATGAGGCAGTCTTTCCTAGGGGTTGGACTCCTTGTGCAGCCTCCTGGGCTTCTCCTTGAACTTGAAATACCTGGGAGTCCGATATACTGAGAAGAGGGTGTTTTATAACCAAGGATGGGGATAAGGAAGGCTATTTCCTGAGCATGGCAAAGCCGGCCTGTGTCATCCTTAGACAAGACTGAAATTGATGTGAGATTATATTTCTTTCTACATTTTAGCTGACTGATGTTGGATTTCTACCATATTACAGTATGTTTTCTCTTTCCTAATTTCTAAAAATGTGCTTTTGATAAACGTGCTTTAATTTGTTGATGTGAGATGCCCCTCTTTATGCTGTGAAAATGTTTTATTACCATTTGTTAATAAAGAAGCTGATTTGGCCAATAGCCAGGCAGAATAGAGCCAGGCAGGAAATCCAAGCAAAGATACAGGAAAAAAGAAGTCTGAGTCTGGGAGACAGCAGCAGCTGCCAGGGAAGCAAGATATGAAGTAACAAGTCACAAGCCTAGTGGTAAAATATAGAATAATAA